TTTTTTTTTTTTTTACCCCCCCCCCCCCCCCAACCAAAGCGTCAAAAATTTGTAACACAATGTACACACATTTATAAAACATTGTCACAAATCCATTACCCTCCCCCATTTAGATGCGAGACGTCGTTTATGGATTGCCCCTTTTATCTGCACATTCGCTCTTTCAATCCGCCCCTGTAACTGAGGTAATTTATAAAATGGCTCTTTACGGGAAAAAAAAAAGCTTGTCGATCAATGACGCAGTGACAATGTAGTTGCAGCATTGCGGTAAAGCTAAAAGACGACAAAGATGTAAATTACTCGCATGTTTACCACGGGAAATGTTAAACATACTTTTACTGCGCTCATTATTGAGAATTTTTGTAAATTTAAAAAAAAGTGTTACTATATAATAATTTAACACATATTTTTATATATTTGATAAATTTAGAAAAAAGTTTGAGATAAATAGTAAATAGTTTGGAAGTAAATGTTATTTCCTCTATTACTATTTAAATTTAAGTTTCCGGTAAAAAGTAGTACCACTTTTATGTTTGTTGACAAAATGTTAAAGTAAAGGGCTGCGATACAATCAAGAAAGAGTCTCCCCTTAATGATTAATAACTAATGTATTCCTCAAGTTTGACCTTCAGTTATTAATTGTAGGTAACATCTTAACTTTAAGCTCCATCATATTTGAATTTTTAAATAAAAAAATGAATTAGAAATAAGTTTTAGTGTCAGTTCAGTTGAGAAAGTAGAAGGTGGCAGTATTCTCATTCTCATTCTGAGTCAGTGACTGACAATAATTCATTAGTGATTAGTGGTCGTGAGTCCCATACAAACTTGAAATTGAAAGTTTATAGTAGCGAAAAACAATATTTCAATCTCCCCATCACAAACAAAGCCACATACTTTCTAAGACTCACATGTTGAATTAGTTCTTTTTAGTTGTTCTTACAAAGTAACTACTTTAACTTGGCCTTTCTGCCTTTCTTATCTTAGCTTTAGCCTTGTCTAGACTAGATTAGACTTAGAGACTAGAGGCTAACTTCTTAACTATACTTGACTGTCAGACTAGACTGACTAGAGTCTAGACTCTAGAGTTATAAGTATAGTATTATCCATTAGGGGTGTGCCGGATCCGTTTTTTCCAACCGGATCCGGATCCGGATTTTCTTATGCGAAATCCGCCGGATCCGGATACCGGTTTCTCCCGGATTCCGGATTTTGGTACTATTGGTAGATACTTCGGTAAGTCAAGGTGGACTACTACTTTTTGTGTATGGGAATTCGCAATCGGCGCCAAAAAATCCGAGTTTTTAATTTTCCGATGTGTGTGTCTATTTATTATTAAATTAGTACTTTCGATATATATTTGAGTTCCGTTCCATTTGGATAAGTGTCTTACGAGAGACGCCATGTTTCTACGCGTTCGCAGCAGGTTATGCAGCTCGCTCAACCTAATTTCGCCATGGGGTTGGCCACGCCCCCCTTTTTAATGGCGGAAGTTGACGATACTTAGGAAATATTAATTTATTATCACTATTTACATCAAAATAATTGATAACTTGTGTTTCAGAATGCATTTAAAGACATTTAAACTGGAATGTTTTAATTTGAGCTTTAACAACCCGGTAGAATCCATATTATAAATGATCAGAATTTACCGTGTGCAACACGTTGTCATTGGCAACCATTCACAGCCACTTGCATAACTGTATCGTAGTACTACCTCAGAGTTTCATTCATAAGAGTTTGCCGTGTGCAAAAACTATTAAACCATTGGTCAGGGAAAGCTTTAATTAATTATTCATGTGCCAAAGTTGAAAGTTTAAACTAAGTCTAAACAGTATTTTAGTGATAAGGCAGGGAATGCGTTGCCTTATATAAACTATATAGTCATTGCGCATGACGGGATTGGTGGAATGAGATCACAGAATGTGGAGATGCAGTCCATGTTAAAAAATGACAAACCAAGTCGTACTTTAAAAATTCATAACTTTAAAACTACAACAGCTAAAAATATGATTTTGGTGTTATAATTCTTTAAAAAATTACATCTTTTCAACTATGCCATTGGTTTATTTTTACAAAAAGTTTAAATTTTCTTATCAAAGTCCCTACACTATTGGCCACTATTAGCGGTGCTGACTCTAGCCTCTGGTATGTACGGAATATTAAACATTAAACAAGCTCAACGCTCGAAACAATCGATTAATGTATCGTGATCGTGTGAAATTCGGGAAAGAGAATTACTTTTATTTCAGATTATGATCCGGTGAGTCACAAAATCTGGCAAATTCCGAAATCCGGTATATTCCGGATTCCGGAATCCGGTTGTTCCGGATACATGTAAATCCGGCGGAACCGGATTTCACCGGATAGTGCAAAATCCGGCGGAACCGGATTCCGGACCGGGGTCCGGCACACCCCTATTATCCATTAGGCCAGGCTCACCAGGGTTTTTTTGAAACCAAGACTCAAAACTAGTTCTATTATAAAAATAATTAGAAATAATTAATCGAACTGACCTAGTGGAAATAATACTAGGACTAAGAAAGGGCCCAGTCCTAATACTAATAATAAACTAAAGTACTTTGTTGAAAAATTGGTACAGGGAGGGGACATTTCAGGAGGTAGGGCATCTATCAGTGTGCAAGTTAGGTATTAGGACACCTGTTGTCATACTCATACATAACAAATTTACTCCGTGGTGCACCCCAGGGTGGCTTAGAGGGGGTCATTGAGTTCTTCCCCCAGAAAAGTTTTGATAAATTAAAATGGCAGTGATTCATTTTAGTACATACCTAAATTAAGTTTTGAATTGATCATCATCCCTCCTGAAAAAAGAAATATTATCTATTTCTGCTTGATGTATGTTCTCAATATACTTCTATCCCCTATACTGACGGTCTCTTAGATTCTTTCTCGAGAGTAAACCCCATCCATCTATACCCACCAACACCCTCCTCTGATTGGCTGATCTGGTTTTCCGCCATAATTCATTTTAGTTTAGAGGCAAATACTTTGACCAAATCAGTGGTGTTGCTATGGGGACTAAAATGGGACTCAGCTACGCATGTTTGTTCATGGAACATTTTGAACAAATCGTTGAAACAAGCTATGCTGGAGGCCTCCCTGAATTCTACAGAAGATACATTGATGCTCACCACTATGGAGAGGAATGAACTTGTCATATTCATTAACTTTGTAGGCTCCCGTCCATTAAACTCACATCTCTCGTCTCTAAGACCTCTGTTAACTTTTTGGACTTTGCAGTAACCCTTCACAAAGATCGCCTACTCACCTCTGACTACTTTAAACCTACTGACAGCCACAGCTATTTACGCTACTCTTCATCCCAAGCTAAATCCTGCAAAGACTCTATTCCCTGTTCTTGATTACTTCATCTTTGTCGACTCTGTCGAGGATGACTTTTGGGACAAGGCACTTGAGATGATCGACTATTTCTGATGTAGGCCCTACCCAGAGAAAGTACTTTCATCAACCCTTCAAAGGATTAAAAATATTACCTGTGCTGATGCCTTCAGGTCATGCCCGAGTGACAGGACCAAACTTATTCTCACTTATCACACTCACAATCTAATAGTCAAAAGTATTTTCCTTAAAAACTGTGCCATTCTCCTTTGCCGACCCTGACACACACAACATTTTCTATTCCCCACCTCTCATTGTTTTCAGACTAGATAAAATTCTGCGAGACCTCCTTGTGTGTAGTTCCATCAATGCTGCCCCCTCCCACTTTGGGACGAAGCCATGTAGACGCAGTCATTGCAAAACTTGCCCTTTCGTTGTCCAGACTCAACACATTCCCTTCCCTAAGGGCAGTTTTCAGATGAGGGATGGTTTCCTTTGTACTAGCAACAATTTTATCTACACCATTGTTTGCACCTGCTGCCAGATGTCATACATAGGTGAGACAGGACGCCGACTCTCTGACAGATGCACTGAACACCTCCGTAATATTACGCCAGATAAGCAGTGTCCTGTCTCTAAACACTGCAATAGAAGTGACCACAAGGGGGCTGAAGATTTTACTTTAAGTGCAATCGTGACCTGTACTACCACACCAAGCTGGGTGAACTTGGAAAATAAGCTGATCCAGACTTATGGAACTTTAACACCTCATGGCATGAATGTCATGTTCTCATTCACCTGTGAAACCACGTCCTCGCCCCCTTCTCGTCATGACCAATCGCAGTGGACTTACTTTCCTCACTTCTTTCCCTGTTTTTCTGTATTTAATCTCTCACCTACTTATCTTCTGTCAAATTCCTTGCTGTCCTCTCAGATACTACATTTCAGCTAAGTGTTATTTTTATTTAATTCTGTTTTTTATGTTGTTTGTTTGCTGATGAAGGCTTCTTGCGGACACTTTCGTTGTTTTGTTGTGTTCTTTTTTTCAGGTTCTCCCATACTTTGTGTCATTAATTTCCTTGTTTGCTAACCCGATTACAGTCTCTTAGATTTGATTTAAATATCCGGATCATATATATAGAGTATAGAGTAGAGTTTATCAATATTATATTTATTACACTATTTCACTAAATTTATAAACTTAGAAAGTTTGAAAAAAAATTTGTATTTTTGCTTTTTGTTGTACACTTTTCTCTTTTCGGTGGGTGGGTTTGAATTGAATTTCTGTGGGGAGATGCCTGAAAGAAACACAGGGGTTGGGAGAGGGGGGGTGGGGCAGATTTTTTTTTTTTTCAATAGGCATATAAAAAATAAACCAGTGAAATTGGCTTTTGAAATAGAGAACTCTTTCTTTTTATACTAGCTGTATATTCATGATTATTATTAGTTTTTTTATTATTAGTTTTCCCTGTTGGTTTGCTAATATTAAAATTCAATGTATAAGCTAAAATTTAATGAATAAAAAGTTCCATAAAAATCATAACAATCATCGAAACTGTTAACTTATACGTTAGGCTGCTTCATTTTATTGTTTAACTCCCACCAATTACTGTTTTGGATCACACCACTTCAGCATTGAATAAGATTTGTCCATTATTGAGCTATTTTTTTTTTTCATTGCCTTTAATATATTTGCCTCACTTAAGTGTATCAAAATTTAGGAACAGATTTCTAAATAGGGATGTTTAGTAAGCTTTTAAAGATATTAAGCTAGAGGAAAACAACAAATTTAAGCTCTCTTAAATTATCTTTGGATAATGTTTTTTTATCTTCAAAAGATAAGCATCTGCAAAGGAATGAAACTTCGTAGTAACTGTATAGTATTAAAATTAAAATTGCTGCTTATTATTAGCAGCAATGCTATACTGAATTTAGAGTACCAGGTAGAGCATAGATTTTCTGATCTAATTTGGGCCAGGGCGGATTTCAGGTAACCTAACACTCCCATGGAAAGGTTGCATTAACGTAGTTCGTGTATATAATATACTTGCTTCTTTGTATTTATGTTAGCACAGTGCACATTTGTTCACTGTATTAACCATTCCTCTTGGGTCAGCTGATTCATGTCTAAAGTTGGTGAGGACTGGATTTTTTCTGCATAAAAATATAATTTAAAAAAATAGGTGACTAACATTTAGAATAAAATCCTAGGTCACTGATCTATTCAGGCTATTACCATATTGTTATGAGTATGGGCCGCACATTTCATTCCCCCTAATGTAGGTCTTAAAATGAATTGTGTGGCCTACATGAGGGATGTTGCAGAAAGGTTTTTACATTTATTTTAAAGAGAAGCACCAAACCTTAAATGTGATGCTTTATAATCAGGAGAGATCTATACTAGGAACAACACTATGAATAAAAACAAGTTTGAAGATTGAATTATTCCATTCTTTTCACTGCATGTACAGTAGGTATAGGTCTGGAATCTGTTTGTATGCAAATGTTCTATTGGATGGGCATTTTTCTACAATAAAATCAATTATATCCTTCTCTAAGTATGAAAGTATATAAGTATGGAGTAATGGTGAGTCAAAAGTGCGCAAAATAAAATTTCCAATAACTGCACTAATGAGATTCTTAAATATAATATTTTCTTTTGTTTTACAGAAATAATCTCAATTTAAAACATGATGTAATAATCTGTGATGTAAAAGGGGGATGGGATATTAGATTATTAATATAGTTTAGTGGAGTGTACTTGGGGCAAGGGGATTAGTACTAATTGAATTGGAATTCTTATAAAGTATGTTACTTGAATGCATGTTTGTCAAGTAACATTAGTAGATAGAAAGTTCATGCATTGCATCGCCATTGTTTGGCGGGCTATAACAAGTAATAATTATAAAAGACTAGAGTAGTTCGGATTACCAGAGCTTCAGATAAACAGAGTTTGGAGAATCGACATTCTGCTTTATTAATAATTGGCTTGAGGGAGGGGGTGGGGAGCGCAATACTTGGGGAGTTCCCCAAGGTTTATTCAAGGTGTGCCACTGCACATGTAACTGTATTTATCTCTTGTGGAACAATTGAAATAGGTTTACTATCGTTCTTTGTTTAGTATATTATAGGCTTACCAATTTTGTGAGTTAAAAGGTATTAAGTTGTGTATCCTGTAAAAATGAAAAGGCAAGGAATAAAAAAAGGGCAGAGAATTAAAATTATATGTCCAAAAGTGGCAAAAGAGATCTAGAATGCATTATTAGCTAGAATATAAAATACAAAAATTAAAATCTAACACAAAATAGCAGTGATTATTACCTCTTGCTTAAATGAAATTACCTTTTTTAAAATAATTCCTCATAATTTTAACTTAGGTGCAGTTATACATCTAAAAAACAGAGCCATGGATGATCCATCATCAGGTTACCATGGAGCAGATGCTGTAATTCTACAAAATGAAGGCATTCAGCTGGCACATCTCGCAGTTCAACATGACAGTGCTCAGCATTATGACATGGCAATATTTTATTATTCGGTGTGTGAAATTATCCTTCTTGAACTCATGTCAAAATAATGTGCTGTTTAAACATGTACTGTTGGATAGAGAAATGTTTTATGAATAATCTGTGAGAGAAAAATGAACATGGGTTGAAAATTTAAATAGCACTAAGACTAAGACAACTAAAATATAAGTTATTTCAAATTAAAATCTTTTAGACTTTAGAAAATAGCTGTCATTCAGTCTTATGAATGTTTATTTCATCAAAATTTTTTCCCCATTTTTTTTCATTTCAATAGGAAGCAGCTCAAACTCTACTTGCTGCAGCCGAGGCGGGGTCACAGGTTCCTAACATTGCAGATAAAGCTACAGAGTATATGCTAAGGGCAGATGCCCTTAAAAAAGCTTGTAAGTTTAGTATATCATTTTATTGCCTTTAGCAGTCATTGTTATTAGTGCAATCAATATAAACACTTTTAAAAATATTCTGTGGTATTCTGCTTACAGCTGACTTTAAGTTTGTCCTTCTACATTATAAGTTATTCTATATTGTTTATAAAACCTTTTCTCCCCAGTAAAGTCACCAGTGATTGCAAAATCTTTAGAATCTTCAAAACCAGTGCAACAGGTCAGTAAACATTTCTAAATACTTGAGATTTGTCATAAGATTACTTCTTTAAGTAAAGCCGGACTTTTAACTAAATTACTTCACATTGACTTTCTTATAATCTGAACCTTCGTCTTTATTTTTATCTTTTAATAGAAACTGTTCCACAAAGGATTTTGTGTATGCTCATTAAGCATACGATTTATGAAAGACTCCGCTGTAAAGATGTTGACTCATTTTTGGATGGAAATTTCACTAATGCAGAGGACTAATATCTTTTATATTTATAATTTAAAACAATCACTGACACCAGCAAACATATTAGAACATAGGTCCTCAAGCTTTATTTCATTTTTTTGAATGGGCCAAAAAAAAATCTTACAGTAGAGTGTTATGATCTGGTTTGTGATCCTGTTTGGAATGTAATGATTCATGGTGCAGTTGATCAAAAGGGAAATAATAATTATGAAAGTGTAAGTGAGCACAAGAAGATAATTTTGTTGAGAGTGGCGGTACTTCTCATGTTGATGTAAATGACCAGAGACTTCAGTGTTTTTCAGGTTTTTTTGTCAATATATTTATAGTGTTTTTTATTGTGAACTTTTATTATCTACCTTGGATGGATTCAAAGAAGAGCTACTGTAATTATTGCACAAAGTGTGTCTAGCAAGTTAAGAGAGTCAGCATTCAAAACCATGCCCTATACATAAATACCCTGAACTGCCAGGCAGTAGTGACATTGGCTACATATGAGAGTTGGTAACATAGAGGTCCCCCACACGTGTAACACACTTGAAGTTGAATCCAACCATGGCGGTCATTTAAGAAATTACCTTTATTATGTGTATTAGCACTTGTAATATTGATTAATTCTTTATTGCAGCCCTGCGATACTTGTGGATTTTCAAATGTGGCCATTTAAGCAAAAAATATTTTGGGCAATCTCCTTTAGTAGGCTTTGCTGTTTAATTCACTTATTAAGAAGTTTTAAATGTTTCATAACTTAAGGTTAGTAAAGCATGCCCTTTTTTGATTGTCTGAAACAATAACTTATCATCTCAATTTCAGCTTGAATTAGAAAAGGCAAGTTTTTTACTGAAAGAAGCTCTGGATGAAGATGAACAAAACAATGTTGAGGAGGCCATTAGTCTTTATTCTGAGGCAATATCTAAGTGTTTAAAAATTGTAAGTTCAATCTCTATCTGATTTAAAGGCATGCATAATTTTTAATTAAAATACATTCTTACAACTTGATCTCTGTGAAGAGACACATTAGCATTATTGTTAATCCAACTGAAGTCCAGGTTTTTATTAGGTATTAAAAAAAAATAGGTGGAAAAATGTAAAAGATAACAAATTTATTGGCAGCACCTTTCTAAGAAAGTATTTTGCCAGAAGTCTTACTTCAACTCTAAATTTGAATTAAATATATATTAAACAAATTATGTGTTTAAAAAATAAATTTTGCAAGTGTATCTTTCAAAAAAATTTTTTTTTCTTAATGACCTGATGAATTGATTTTTTAAACTTTTTTCTATTAAGATGTTAACCAAATAGATACAAATGATCTTTTCTTGTAAAAATTATGAGAATGTTCACTGACTTTGTATATGTAAGTTATTGTCTTATCAGACATCCGTCGTTTTAAGCCTTACTCTATGTTACAGAGAGACAGCACTGCTGATGCCAAATTGAAAGAAGGAGTAGTAAAAATGGCTACTCAAGCATTAGACAGGTCAGTGTTAATTACATGGAATGCCCAACAAAATTTTTTACAATTGTTAAACGTATCTTTTTTTAAAAATAAAGGTATTAAAACATGAAAAGCATGTAAAATAATTTTAAATCAAAGATGCATCTTTCTCCCTATAGAGCTGAGGCTTTAAAAAAGCGAAACACCAAATCTCTTCCTGCGTCGAATAATACTTCTGGCTCTACAGTTCGCACGCTCACAGGTGACTAACATAATTAATTGTTTTATTTATTGGCGTAAAGATTCATGTAGGCATTATTCTGAAAAAAGGATTATACCTTTGTTATGATAAATTCTTCCTGTAATATTTTCAAATTTCCTAATTATAGCACTAAAGAAACATCAGTGTATTGGTATCAATGATGGGTTTACAACATACATAGTTACAAATGGAGAGACAGGCAGGCTGCCACCTTGGTGACCAGTTTAGAGAACTCATGTACAATATAAAAAAAAGAAAAAAAAAAAAAAGAAATGTGAATTTCCAAAAATGTAAAGTGTTAAGCCAATAGGATTTCAGATTATGCAGTAACAGGTGTACTGTTTAAACAGATAACAACAGAATCAATTTTTATGGAATATAGGATAATTAAAATATTGTGGAGTTTGACTCCATATGGAATTTACCAAATCCATAATTTTATAAACATGCTGTAAACCATTTCCTGTTTGTTATACACTACACTTCTGCCCACTTGTTACTAACTATGCAAAGTGTGGAAAAATAAATAGGCCATTAAAAAGCATACAAAAGTCAGATATAATAGTGGTAGAAAAAAATTACAACAAACAAATATTGTGCAAGCAGTGCATTTGTTGAAGTGATATTAAACATTTAAGAAATATGAAATTGATTTAATTAATCTGACAAATAACACTTAAGTGCCAATTAAAGTTGACTTTCATGTTGCTGAATAGATCAGGGAAGTAGAATGTCATAATGCTAGTTTGTCATATTTAGTTTTAGAAATCACTGACTTTGTTAAATATGTTACAGTATTTTAATTAGATTGCAGATTTGTCAAATTTTTGTAAAGGAATTCATTTAACCTTGATTTTAATTTTGAGCCTTGTTTATTTGACCTTTGAGTTGAGTCTTTTGACATTTAAATTTGATTTGTTTCTTTCAGGGAAAGTAGTTCCTCCATTAGGCTTCGGTGCTTTCTCAGAGGGTGATGAGGACAATGATAATGCCCAAAGATTGCTTTCCTCTGCGCCAACGGCTCCTAAAGGTGGTATCTCACAGTCATCTTCTTCCACAACATTAAGAACTGGTCTTATCAATGTTGGGCCCAGCTCTTACTCTAAAGATGAAATAGCAGTATTAAGGTAAATCAACTTTAAAACGTAGTAGGGTCTAAAACAGGGGTGGGTAACCTATGTGCCACGTGTGGCCCACAAAACCTTCTTATGTTTCAAATTATTTTCAATTAATTGTTTAGAATTCTAGGTTCCTAGAAAATTATCATGGGGCCCACCAAAATAATGATAATTTCCATGCAGCCCTCTTAACGAAAAGGTAGCCCACCCCAGGTCTAAACGGTTTTCTGTTGCAGGGTTTCTTAACCTGTTGTATAATTTGCACCCCTGCGAAATGTTTGACCAAGTCTCATAGCATATACAAAGTAGCAATGTATATTTGATTTTGAGAAAAAATAGATGTCTAATTTAACAATGTAATTACAAAGAGAACAAGAGAACTTAGAAATGAACTTACATATGACTTATTACATAAAGAAATTTAAAAATATATTAAAATTTACATCCTTACTTAAAATTCAAAGGATGTACTCTTCTTATAATCCATTCTCCTTGCAGCTCTTGAAATGTTACCCTGCGGTTTGGGAAACCCTGGGCTACTGCAATATAAATAAGGGCATAAAAATGGTTTTGATTCTCAAATTTTAACTGTTAACCTGATACCTCATAGAAAAACAAAAGATTTGTACCGGTATTGCAATTAAATTCTTTTTACAGTTTATTTTCATTAAAACAATTTTTATGAGGTTTTCAAATAAAGGCATAAAGATGTATTACCTTATTTATTTAAAAATATGGCTATCCCTCTGTAACGTTGTTGTATCTATCTAAAATGGTACATCCAAAGTTTTCAAAATTATTATTAAAAATCAAGGGCTGTCAGTTCATAAATCGAAAATAATGAATTTTTTTCATCACATGATCTTATCAAAGCTTTCAATGCTTTATATGATCCCTTGAACGCTTTTATCATCTCATATAGCATTTGAAAAATCTTAGAGGATTACAAATGCAAAAATGATTTATAATCATTTTTGGATACTATTTGTAAAGCAATGAGCATAACATAAGAACTAAAATTATATTTTGTATATGTATTTACAGGAGTACTTCTAAAATTAATGGTCGTGAATATGTGCCTTTTCTAGCCGTTGATCAGAAAGAAAGATTTGCCTATCCTGAACATTTTAAGTAAGTAAAGTAAAAATTGTACATTTTACATTTGTTTGTTAACATTCTCAAGCCTCATAAGAGGAAAAAACCTGGCGGATTAAAAAAAATATAACAGATAAATGTAGCTTTTAACATAAATAGTATTTTTCATTACATTATTTAGAAAACTTAAGTAAAATTATGTTAGAATGTTGAATAAAAAGGTTAAAGCTCTAATAGAACATGTTACTAATAAGAGAACCCAAAAAATCTGCTGTAATACTATCTCCATCTCCACTATTTCAGTGATAAAGATGGCAAACTAATTCTCTCTCCAAAACAAAAGCAGCAGTTTGAAAAGTGGGCTCGACCTGAGACTTTTTGTGATGAGCCTAAAGTTATTTATGCAATATCAAGTTTTAGTATACGACAGGTTAGTGTATCAGACATTAGCTGTCCTGCAGGCCTTATATTTCTTAATCATAGTTAAGCTGGTCTTGAAATATTGCCTGTCAACTTGACAAACAAATCTATTCAAATTCTACAATTTTCTTACACTTGACTTAAATAAATGTGTGCATCAAATGTAAGGCTTAGTTATAGAGATTGGAAAAAGTAGTTTCATCTTTTTAAAAAAAATGACTATTGTGTCATAAAGAGTATAACAACATACTTGACATTGCACGTTTCAACTTTTCCACCATTTTTCCCCTGCCAGACTGTTGTGTCAGATTGTAGTTTTGTAGCATCTCTAGCCATTAGTGCCCAATATGAAAAACGTTTCAGGAAAAAGCTCATAACAAAGTAAGTTGTTAAAAAATTTAGTTTATATAATCTAATAACAATTCAGTTGTCAGCATTAAATTAAAAAAATTTAGACTTATTTCAGGGTAATATTATTTGAGTGAACTTTTTTTCTCCATTATTAACTCTAAAATCATGAAGTGCTAATTGGTTTAAATACAAATTTATGTGTTTTGTATGTACGCTCAACATTTATAATTTGAATATTACCAATCTACTACAAATGATTCATCTCTGAATTCTGTTTTTAGTATAATTTATCCCCAAAATCGAAATGGTGAGCCGGTTTACAACCCTTGTGGGAAGTACATGGTCAAACTGAACTTAAATGGTGTATGGAGAAAGGTACTGCACATCGTCAAACATGTATTTTGTCATTTCATTCATTTATTTCTTATAATGTTTAGAAATGCATCTTTATATACTTGTTAAAGAAATCCTTGATAAATAAAGTTAATAGAAAATGTTATTGTTTGAATTCAGTGTTGCTCTTAAAATAGCAAATATTTAACAAAACAATCATTTTCAGGTTGTGATTGATGATTACCTCCCTCTAGCAAAGTATGGAGATTTACTTTGCTCTTTCTCCAACAACAAAAATGAACTCTGGGTGTCTCTGCTTGAGAAGGCCTACATGAAAGTGATGGGCGGCTATGACTTCCCTGGTTCCAATTCTGTAAGATATAATCTCAGAACCTAGAAGTTACAATTTTTTTTTTAAACTTGTCAAATTTTTAAGCAAAAATGGCTTGCAATAAAGTAAAACTAAAAATTCTGATGCCTCTGCCATGAATCATAAAAAAAAAAAATAACAGTGTTTATATCATACATTAAGTTCATTCTGTAATAAATAACCATGTTAAATCAAATGAGTTTTAAATGCATTTAATTGTATTTTTTAGAATATAGATCTCCATGCACTTACAGAATGGATACCAGAGAGAGTGGCCATTAGGGAAGGTTCAGCAGAGTTCAACAAAGACAAAGAGTTCAAACGTCTTTTAGACAGGTTTCACAAGGGTCACTGCCTAGTCACTGTTGCTACAGGAGAGCTGTCTGAATCTGATGCTGACAGAGCAGGCCTTGTCCCTACCCATGCTTACGCTATGCTTGATGTCAAAGAATATAAAGTCAGTCACAATTCAGGAAAATCAGTTGGAATAGTTGATAGAATATGTTAATAGTTTTTATAATTTAAAAAAAAAACCCTTTTAAAAAAAAAACCTTTTAAAAAAAAAACCTTTTAAAAAAAAAACCTTTAAAAAAAAAAAAAAAAAAAAAAAAAAAAAACAAAAAAAAAAAAAAAAAAAAAAAAAAAAAAAAAAAAAAAAAAAAAAAAAAAAAAAAAAAAAAACAAAAAAAAAAAAAAACCCTTTTAAAAAAAAAACCTTTTAAAAAAAAAACCTTTTAAAAAAAAAACCTTTTAAAAAAAAAAAAACCTTTTAAAAAAAAAACCCTTTTAAAAAAAAACCTTTTAAAAAAAAAACCTTTTAAAAAAAATAAAAAAAAAAAATTTAAAAAAAAAAAACTTAAAAAAAAAAAACCATTAAAAAAAAAAAACTTTTAAAAAAAAAAACTTTAAAAAAAAAAACCTTTTAAAAAAAAAACCTTTTAAAAAAAAACCTTTTAAAAAAAAAACCTTTTAAAAAAAAAACCTTTTAAAAAAAAAACCTTTTAAAAAAAAAACCTTTTAAAAAAAAAACCTTTTAAAAAAAAAAGCAAATGCTTGAAATGTAGTTTGAATACATACAAAATTATTAACTTATCTAGACATGGTTTCTTATAGCACTTATTAATAGTATATTGTGCTTTTCTTTACACATTTGTAGAACAAACTATACAAAGACAGTCCAATAATGCATTTTTATGGCCAGGGAAGGGCCTTTTAATTATGTATCATATCAGGTTATTGCAGCTAGTATTTGATTGTGGCATTTGAAAGTAAGTCCCAAAGTTTTTGTTTGTGTAACAATTTTAAGCATTGGGTCTCATGCTAAACATTTTGAAAAATCAAATTAAAAGATCAAAATTCATTACATATTATTTAATTTTTTCTGTAGGGGAGACGACTCTTCATGTTAAAAAATCCATGGAATCACTTACGATGGAAAGGGAATTTCTCAGAAAAAGATGAAGCCAACTGGACAACTGAACTTCAAAAGGCCCTTAACTATGATCCAAAAAGTGCTCAGATGTTTGACAACGGTAAGATATTAGGGATGGTAGCCATTGTCCACAGGTGCATGAATTACACCCTTTCATGATTCATTGTTCCCAACTGTTATTTAGGTTGTATGTATGTTGTAGGTAAACATGATGTTATTTCTCGTCATCAGGTGTGTTCTGGATAGACTATGATTCCCTGTGCAAGTTTTTTGATGTGTTCTACATAAACTGGGACCCTGAGCTCTTCAAATACACCACTTGTATGCAGCAGTGAGTTCAGAAAACAAGATTTCTTCTCTCAAGTGAAAATTGAGCCTAAATTTTAACTGAAATCTACAGACATTCTAATAAAACAGCTTTATTGTTAGAATCCGTTCTACCATTTAAGCTAAAATGTTTGTTCCGAAATTGTGTAAAGTAAACAAATTGTGGTGCAAGATACGGTTAGGCCGAAGAAGCCACACAAGGCAAAACAAGAAACAAAAAATAATTATAAATTAAAAGCTTATGTGTAAGAAGATCTCAATGTAGCTCTCTCAGTCTCTGTGTAGAGATGAGAACGCTCTAAGCTAGTAATGGAAGTTAAGTTGTTCAAGAGAGAGTTGCGTGTGTCTACCATTTACTGTACAATATGTATCTAAACAACAAGCTAAGAGTGTTTGTCTCTGTCTTTAACTAATTTTGTTGATGAAGGCTTTTGACCAAAAGGTTCAATTTCTGTTATTGATCTTCTTTATGTTTTCTCCTACCCTTTATACATTTCATATTTGATTGATGTTAGCTACTTAAACAAAGCTATTTTAATCACACTTTTGTCCCTTAATTAGTAAAGCAGAGCTAAGAGCATTCTCTATAATTGTGAAAAGTTTGATGATATGACCATTAAATAAAATTGATGTGCTTCAAGGGCCTGCTTGAATGTTTTTAGTGTTCTTAGCCAATGCAGAAGACTTACATAATTGGTTAATTTATAATCACCAAAAAACCTTGACCCCCACCAGTACTTGGCAAGCTAAGGAGGGACCTAAAAGAGACACATACAACATCAGTGACAACCCACAGTATAAACTAGAGGTCAAGGGCAACCAGTCAGGTGCTGCAGTTTGGATCCTGCTAACCAGACACATTACTGACAAGGTAGGGCAACATTTGAGTATAAAACCAAAGTACTTGTTAAGAAATCAATAATAAACCCATTTGTATTTTTTGCTACATTTTATTTCATTATTTAGTATTTTCTTTGTGTAGGTTCTAATCTTGTGAAATAATTAACAAGCATTTATTTCTTGATAAACTTTCCAAGCTAAATGACTGTTTTTAAATTTTCAAATATAAAATGCTTTTAAAATGAATTTTTCAGCATAAGTTAGCTCGCTGTAAAAAATGAATGATGGAATGCATTCAAGCTGTGTGAAGGAAATAGCAGAACAGGGTATGTGGAAGCTTGAAGTAGAAGGTCCTGTCTTTCTACATCAAGCTTCCACAAACCTTGTTCTGCTAATTCCTCACTGTAAAAGCTTTGTGACTCTTCATTGGGTGGGTCATGTTTATTAAATTAAGAAGCTTAGGGTAGCCATATCCAGTCTTTGGGTAGCCATATCCAGTCTTTGGGTTGCCATATCCAAGCTTTGGGTTGCCATATCCAGTCTTTGGGTTGCCTTATCCAGTCTTTGGGCCATGGTTCTCAATGACAGATGAATGCCATTTTTTTCAAATGATAATTTTGATAACTCCGCCAGTGGGCACTCATCCCTAGTCTATGTATCCCAGGCTGATTTTGCAGACAATAAGGAATTCATCACCGTGCTTGTTTACAAAAATGGAGGGAAAAAGGTGTTTTACCCATGTAAGTAATAAAATGTATTTCTTGTTGAAGGAAGGAAAATATGTTCTCTCTTTTTTTTTTATCTATGGTGTGAAATGATCTGCTGAATTTTTGTTCTCTTATCTTTCCATTCAGTTTTTCTGTCACTTTAGTTTAAGATTTTGTTTCATTCAATACAGATGACCCACCACCATACAAAGATGGAGTTAGGATAAATAGTCCACATTACCTCTGTAAGCTGGTTGAAGGAGCAACTAAAGATCCTTACACGCTGGTCATATCCCAATATGAGAAGAACAACACAACACATTACACACTCCGCGTGTACAGCACATGTGATTTTTCACTGACAAGGTTTTCAGATCCATACAAGAAACAACACGATAAAAAGGTGAACTTTGTCTTACTGTGGTTTCCTTTTAATAATTTTAAATTCAACGTGTTCAGCATTCTTTTTCCTATAGCAGGACTTTAACTGGTAGTCCATAGACCAACACTGGTCTGCATTTTTTAATTCACCCATTTGAAAAACTTGAAATTTTAAGAAGATTGACAAAGAGCAGTTATCAGTAAATTAGAAACAGGTCCTTGCTACAATATAGATAAATTCTGTCTCTCTGAAGTTTGGCCAGCTCTGTCCCAGAACATTTCACTACTTTTTCTTGGGACTGTCAAAATATACAATAATAATTTTGAAGATTAAACAATTTTACAAATAATTACCACGAATAACCACTTGATATAAAAAAAAAAATTAAAATAATATAATATAAAAAAAAAAAAAAA